GGAAGCATAAATACTGTTTAAAACTAGAATACTACTTGTAATTTTACTCATAAAACACCTTTATCTTATTTTCTGAAAAAAATTACTATATCTGTTGCTCTGTGCAAAGTACACGCATACAGTGAATATGGCATCTTCTGTTATTGCTGCTTTTTCCTGTTTCCTGGGACAGTTCATTTGCATGTGTTGTCATGGTGACCCCATCAGCAGGTAGAAGGTGAGAGCTACTATAAGCAGGAGGCAGAGGGGAGAGTTAAAGGTCTGGTACGCCGTGGAGGGCATAAACAGGTCCTCATATTTGTAGATACTGATCATGTGGTCGCTGACAGGGGGACTGTCGATATCATGTCGAGTGATTGAACCTGATGGAGAATATAAATATATTTAATATTCTACAAAGGATCATATAAATTACACAGATACTCACCTTGAATGGCAGGACCCCACGCAAACAGGTAGTACCAGGACAGGTGCAGGTCCACTAGCGTCTCTTCTCGGGGCACATACAGCGGGCGCTTGAATCGACACGTGACGCGGTTGTTCTCAAAGATGCCCTCCTCATCTCTGGCAGGGTTCCTCTTGATCTCTTTTGCCCATTGGCCCACGTTATAGAAGTGATGGATGCGCACACGGCCATTATCATCATGGACACAGCCCATGACATCATCTCCTCCCTGGAGGAATTTAAAAATAAAACAGTTTCTTGGTTCATGGCACAGTTCTACTAAATACAGCTCTTATTTCATTTAGAGTAGTTAGACTTCTGTATAGAAGTATAAGACATGCACCATTTTCTTGTCAGAGGAGAAGCCTACGGCCACCCATCCGTCTGTGTCTGCGCTCAGCTCAAACTCCACATCAGTCCCAATCCGCCGGTAACTCAAGAAGTAATCGCAGTTCTCTGCATCACAGCCGGGTTTACCATACCTGCCAAAAAACATCTCTCAATGTCCAAGGGACTTGAACCAACAATGCAATACTGGTTTAAATTACGACTGTAATTGACTGAAAAGTCAAACATCCGGTATATATCAAAACTCTTAATTCTTATTACACTTCAGTTGAAAGGGCGCTGACTGATCAGAGGTGTGAGGAGTGCTGTCTTACCTGATACAGCCTTTGGTGATTCCACAGTCACTAACTTTGATTTTGGCAAAGGGGTCCACCGGTGGAGCAGTGGGGAATGGATATCCTGTGACACAAAACAGACCTTAGACAACCTGACAACACAGTATTATTTCAATCAGAAGAAACCATAGGGCCTGACCATCTGTGGCAGTGAGGGGGCAGGGGGGCAGCACCAGGAGCTGGCCTGGGTCCTGAAAAGACCTCTGTGCTGCACTGACCACTCACATTGCATTAGAATGATTTAATGAAAGGAAGATGTTTTTAGAGCAAGACCTTGGTTATTCATGTTGAAATAATATGGGCTGATTGTGAGCAGATAATAGGTTCAGTATATGATAAAGGTTTTTAAAGGCAAACAGAAGCTCACCATCATCAGACAGATATTTGGACTCCAGGAACTCGGACGCAAACGTGCTGTAGGAGTCTTTATGCGGCTCTTGGTGGCCCGGGTCTCCATGCTCGCCGTGTCCGGCCCTGAGGGCTCCTTCATCGGTGGGGCTCGCCGCGACCCCCATCCAGGCGCTCTGCACTAGCAGCGCCCATAGATGCACGGCCGCCCGCACAAAACCCATGGCTGAAGGCGAATATGAGTGCGATGCACGAGGCCAAACCACCTTATGGAAAAGGATGCATGCTCATTTAGTGTCCATGTTAGCGGGTCGTCAGATTCATCTCTGCATCCTAATGCGCACCATGCAGCGGATATGAGGGTTTCTCTAACGAGCTAATCAGTAATCCGAGTGTAAATGACACAAACCTGTAATCTGCAGATCTAGAGCGAACATACCAACATAATCCGTATTATAATCCTCGATATAAAGATAATTGGGATGGCACAACGGTACGTATTTTTCTTCAGAGAATTAGTCAGATGAATGGTTTCTCCCACCCCTTCACTCTCCTCTTTATATCCAGCGTCCACCTCAGCCAATCATCAGCCGCAACGTACAAACGTCAATATTGATCATTGTGTGTACACTACAGAAGGCTACATTAAATTGCATCGTTATAATATCAGTGGTCAGTCACCGTGTCTAATTGTCCAGAGACCTGATTTATTTGGTGTTCAAGATTAAGTCTCTAACAAGCCGATAATGCTAATTGTGGATCATAACAAGTGTATGTACAAAACACACCACTTGGTGGCAGTATAAGACTATATACTGTACTTCACGAACGTATCCCTCAACATTTATTTGTTTAGCCTACATACATAAACATGTATTTATTTTGTCTGAATATTGCATTATTGGGAAAGATTACATGCCTATATATATTTTGTCTGAAATGTTGTTTCAATTAAACTTCTTATAGGCTAGTCTTGCACAGCCCCAGTCAGATACAGCATTGGAAATTAATCATATACATATATAATATATTTTCAGAAAATAGTAATTTGTATGATCGGGGTTTTATCTGCGACCAGTAGGCGGTGCTATTGGTCCATAATGTGACACTGAATTGATCCAATTTAAACAGATGTTCAGAGGTTAAGGGCTGGCGCGTGTCTCTCTCCGTGTTGCTCACGCCTGAAAAGTTTAAGTAGCCTAACGATCAAAACACTGGATGATCATATAGACCAAGCTCGCTCTTATGGTTGGCCTGGTTTATGAACACAGTATTTTTTTTTCTCCGTTTTGTGACTGATGGCGGCCTTTTGACATTACTGGCTATGTTTTAATCAAATCTTAAGGAGGCCTCACTTTTACGCATGTAAAACACGTGCCCGATGAATGTCCATGTGTTTGAACACAGCAGACTGCGTGACCTGCTCTCCATCACGTCCGCGCGTTGACACATTTCAACCTGATCCATCACTCCTCTTGTTCTCCATGCGTCCAATTATCCCACGTTTATCCTGCCATTATTTCCACTGCTCGCTCGCTCTCTCCCTCTCCTTCCCAATTACCATCCCGTGTGGGGGGGCAAAGCATGCTGGGTAATGAGGGACTCTGAGGTGTACCAATCTTATCTTAATAGCCTTAAAGGGCCGCTCATTAACACAAACACTCTCTCTGTCATTCATAGACATCGCCACACGCTGCATACTGCGCTATGGATAGAGTTACTACGGGGAAGGAGCTGGGGACTTGATTGAAGCGGTAGGATAGAGGGGGGAGAGGGGGGGCAGGAGAGAGGAGGAGGGGGTCTGGTTAAATGTCAGCCGTGTGTCTCCTGGGCCCGACAGACGAGGAAGTGACAGCCGAACAATGGCGGCTCCTGGAAGCATTCAGAGGCGCACAGCTGCCAGGAGAGGGGAGCGTGTCTGGATACGTCCTGGATTATGGTCCTCACCTGCACCTGTATGTATGGGCTATAGCACAGTGTCTGGAGAAATGCATTTGGTTGAGTCAAGTGGCCCTAACACACATTTTATTCAAAATTTCGTCATTATATTATTATATTATATTATATATTGGCCCGTTGCAATCTTTACGCAGGGAAGATGGGCCTATCGTCGATCATAACTGAGTCTGGTAGCCTACCTGTTGAAGTTTTCCTGCTCATCCTTGTGTATGTGCAGTTCAGCCCTGGATTTCTGGGTTTGTCCTGGTTGTGCCTATAAATTATTCCATGTTCAGTCAGGTTGAATAAGTCCTGGTTTTAATTTTTTAGAAAGTTTTGGAATATTTTTCACTTGGATTTGTAAGTAGCAGTGGTGGCTCCAGACATTTTTCCTTAAAGGGGCTAAGGGCTCTGCCAAGTTCTTTTTTGTGGTGCTCACATAACATAACAACATAAGAGCCCCACAAATTAGTGATTTAGAAACCTTAATTTTGAATTCTTAGTTTTATTGTAGCCTCATTTTGAACACTTTTTGCTTGCCTTTTAAACTGTTTTAAAATTGACTGAATATCCTACATGAAAAAGTACCCCTTTACAATTGAAATCGTGGAGACCCAAGACTGTTGCCTCTCACCCAAACAGTTCTGGACACATCCTAGTTGATCACTTTCAGACAGTAGATCATTTATCGATTCACTCTGCTTATAACACCAGGCTATTACCTCTGTCTTTAACTCCTATCTGTCACCTACACAGCAAGGAGCGGGTAGTTTGCCTTGGGACTCCCCTCTCCCACTGCTTCATTTGGGACATGTCACAAATACCCCCACTCACCCGGGACAGTAAGTATTATTGACATGTCCTGGAAGATTATACACCTCCGCCCATGCTCATCCCCTGCTCAATAACTCAGTTGTAATAGAACAAAAGTGTGTGTGTCTATATGTCCACTTCATCTGCATACTTTTTACTTTGTGGTTACTTTGTACTTCTGTCTGCTGCACAGTGTTTGTGTACCAAAGGATATGGCTTCTGTTGTGACAAATATTTGCTGTACAGGCAAGACATTGATCAACAGTCACACCAACAGTAATTGTGTGGAAAAATGTATTTGAGTTTGGCTTGTTAGATGGGAGTGATCCTCTATTGACAATAGACTTAAAATACTTGTTGTTCCTCCTTTATCCGTTAAGTCTTGACACTGCTCTACACCTATAGACAATAGCAGCGTCCCAGGCCTTGAGCAGTGATTATAGTATCGGGTAGTGGGGATTGGAGGACCACACCATCATTAGTCCGGTTAATCAGAACTTAGCTGCAGGTTAAGCTTCGGAGCCTCCAGAGACAGGCTGATGAGCTGCGAGCCGTGCCCAGCTTACACTGCTCAGGTCTGGGATATGTGGCGGAGAGCTCCCTTGGCCCCTCAGTCAGCTCCAGCCCGGTAATCTATAATTCTCCCCCAGAGCAGAGAGACGTGGGCTGAGCCTCCTGGACGACATGGACGGAGCATGCATGGTAATGAGACACGAGCTGACCGCCACACTGTCACTCACACCTGTTCACTCACAGCTGGACAGGGACAATGGAGGAGGAGGAAGAGTCAACATGGAATGGATTTAATATAGCAGTTTTTAGTTTTATCTTTTTTCATCCTTTAATTTTATGTATGTTTTGTTTTGGGGTTTTTTGGTGTCTTTTTAGTTTTAACATTGTGTGTCAGATCTGACAAGTATCTGTAGGGTTACTTTTGTGTTAGGTAAGCACCTCTCTCCTCGAGTGTGTCTGGGTGTGAGTGGATGTGGGTATGGTTGTGCGTCTGTGTTTGGGTGACTGAGTGGGCGATGTGTGAGTGTGTGCACGAGTGTGTGAGTGCGTCTGCGCAAGTTGTAATGATTTTAGGGGTTATTTTTTGTTTAAAAAAGCAATGAAAAGCATAAAAAATAATAACAATATAGCAATTTTTGTCATTTATTATGCAAGTTTATAATAAATAATAATAAAACTGCATCAGTTTTATATAGCGCTTTTCTGGACACTCAAATACGCTTTACAGAGCATGAAGATTCAGATTATGAAGAAACAAGTTCATAGGCCTGTTATTGTTTAGGGTTAAGAGAGTGTTTTCAGATGAAAAGGGGGGCAGGGTGGTCTGGACTGAATGGCTATTGAACTCGCATTTCTTTATCGCCAAGAAAACGTGTTTTGATTCTGTGTTACTGAGTGTCATTTTACAAAAACCTAAACTCAAACTACTCAGAGATTTCATTCTGAACACCGGGATTTCCACACACCTGGTGGTCAAGGCTTCAGGTAGTTGAATCCAAAGAACAGCAAAGATTGAGCTAAGATGTGGTGACTAAGTGAGTGAAGTTAAAGTATTTTCATAACAAAAGCACAGATTATGCAAATTAAAGACTGTTTTAAGGTAGGGCTGCAATGATATCCAAGTCTCATGATATGATATTGTCACGAATGAACCTCATGGTACGATTCTTATTTCAATATCGTGGGAAAGCTCTCGATATGATGGGGAGTCTCACGATTAAGGATGTAACAATAACCAAATCTCTCGGTACGATATTTTCAGGATATACATCTCACTGTACGATATTTATTGTGATATTTTGTGGAGGCAAACAAAACTTTGAATGTGCAACTTTTTTCTCTTAAAATGCCTTGACAAAACTTAACCCAAAGAACTAAAACTTAAAAGTGCTTATTTCTTCATGTAGTCTAGCAAATGGAGCAAAGGATCATGGTCTATGTAGTCTGTCTCTGTCTTTTTTTTAGCTATTGCTGCACCATAACGCTTAATTTAAGCAAAGAGACTCGACGATACGATATCATGATATTTCGGTTATTGTTACACCCCTATTATAAGTAGTTTAGCTGGAGAAAGAGAACAATTCTGCTTATATCTGCAGAATACATAGAAATAAGTCAGGAATGTGCGGCACGATTTTTTACAGGACAGAGCATATGCTGTTTGATTCCTAGCTAGAACAATTTACTGAATGTCGCTCCTCACTTTTTACCCCATTTCAGAGTAATATTGAAACAAATCAAACAAAATTAGCAAATAATAATTTTTTTTACTCATCTAGAAATGTATTTTTAAGATATTGGGATCCATTGTCTTGCATTGACTCCTTATTTATTGCATTGACTCCTTAAAACTAACCCAAAAAAGTGGTTGTCAGTATGTGTGTGAGTATGTTATCCGTGACCTTGACTTAATGACCGATTTGTTCCAACATCTAAATGCTTAACTACCGCTGTCCTAGCC